GAGCATTCAGCACACACACTTCGAAGTGTGGTGACTTATTTACATACACTCGAATGTGTAATATAGAGTGATGAATAGGAGAAAGAAATAGAGAATTTTGAGATTGAGTACAAATTGCACCATGTTACTTTACCTTATTTACTGTGAATGACATGTTTAACTTGTTTCCATGATGCCACACATTCAAATTCACATTATATATATATATATATATATATATATATAGTTTGCAAATGATACTAGTGGTGAACATATCTTTATATACTCCTTCTCAAACTGTTTGAATATATATATATATATATATATATGGCTATGGTTAGAAACCGTTTTATATATCATTTCAACCTTGAGTGATGTAGTTTCAAGCACTTGCAGTTGTACTTATCATTGTTAATACTGCAAATTACGACTGTTTGAAAAAATGACATTAGTCTTTTAAAAACATTTTAAATGATCCAAAAAATAAAAGTGCAATGGTTTAAATTTCAGTTTTGGGGTTTGTAAACTAAACTATGTGTGAGCATGAACATAGTCTACTACATATTCAAATCCACATTGCAGTTCATGTATTGAACACACTTGATTCACATCAATGTTTGTGTGTAGTCATCACCCTCAATTTTTTCTTTAAATAATTTAGTAATTGATTTATTTATTCTTTAGCATTTAAAGTTTGTAAACGGGATTCAGAAGCATGAATTGTAGTCACATATTTAACTGTTTAAGCCCACAATTTATGAAACACCCAATGCTCACTAGTGTGAAAATGATATGTTTAAAAACGAAAGCTAACTACTTATTCCTAAAAATAACTTTGGATCGTAATCAAAGGGATATCATGTATTATTCAATATGATTTCAACAATAGACGTATTTTCCCTTTGAATCCTGGTTCTTAATTTATTAACACAGATGTACAAGTATTCAACAATTCAATATTACTGGAAACTAAAATAGAAGTAAAACTTTATTTTACAATTTTTCTCTTATCTTACAGTTTTCCTTTGACAAATTCTCTCTCTCTCTCTCTCTCTCTCTCTCTCTCTCAATATATATATATATACTACCATCTAAATCAAGTGTACAAGAAATAAGCCAAGCTAAGTCTAAAAATGCTCAATAATAAGAGAAAACAATATTATTCCTAATACCACAACACAACAAAATACAACAACCTCCATGCTCCTCTCGACTCTGTTTCACTTCCTTCAACCACTGAGATGATACTGATAATCCACAATGTCAATCTAGCCAGCTACATTTGTAACCTTTGAGAATGGTAGCAAGTGATACACACCCATGAGACTTGTGCCTCACCTGCAAAAAAAATGTAAAAGGCAAATAAAGAGGAAAAAAAAAAGCAAAAGCACAAGCAAAAGATGGGTCTGGACATGGTACCACCATGAGAGGCTTCCACCCACAATCCTTGGGGGGAGAGAGTCCAGTCAAATGCAAAAAAAAAAGAAAAAAGAAAAAAGGAAGAAATCTATGTTGATGATGGAAGATCGTTCCCCATGCAGGAATCCAATGTGCTCTCATTCCCCCGTTCCCATGCCAGGGGAACCCATCTCAAGCAGGCACAGCCTAAAAAGTCAGAAACCTCAAAAAAGTCAAAAAATAAAATGAAATCACTACTCCAGTTAATTGAATAGGAGTTGACTGGAAATTTGGACATTCACTGCCTCATTACTGCCCCATCATTTCAGGATGGAAAATTAATTAATTAAAAGGGGGGGGGGTGTTGAAAAGCCTTTTTGAAGGGCATGGAGTTGCCCTTCACAGCCCTTCACAGACAAGTGAGTCCAAAGCTTGACTTTAGAAACTGGGCTACTCTGGGCTGCTGCTCTTGATGAAAGCAAAATTCATTTCACATCAGGAGAGAGAGTGTTGTTTTACCCATTGTGAGAATGACTTTTTCCTTTCTGTGTTATGCTTTTAGAACCTCTGGAACTGCTGCATTTGCTTCAGTTGCTTTGTGTGGAGAGTTTCTGGGGACATTTAGATTTTTGTACAGTGTAGGCTTCAGTGGTGAAGGCTCATAGAAGCTACATGGTTCATTGGAATATTCCATGTGGGTGTCAAATAGCACACTTGGAGTATCCTTGTTGTCAAAATAGGTCATGGTTCAACATTGAAGTTGTGGTTATTTTTGAGATCATTTTTATTTTTATTTGGTTTTTTGTTTTTTTTCTTCTTCTTCTTCCAGCTGACATGGCTGCTACAAGTGATGAGAAGATGGAATTGGCAGCTTCTTAATAGTGCTTGGAGGAGGAAGGACCAAGTCAAATGCCAAAACAAATGCACACACACACACACACATATATATATATATATATATATAGAAAAGAAATTTGATGTATTGGTCAATTGGGTGCAGGGACATGGTTGAGAGAGTAAGCTGGTGTGTGTGTGTGTGTGTGTGTGTGTGTTGTGTCTATTTATAACCCTAAACCTGGTGGCATAACAGGATGTGTGAGTCTGGACAAGTTGTAGTGATTTTCACTATGCTCACCACCACAGTTAGAGCAGCAGCAGCTTTATATACATCATGGAGCACAGGCTTGGGAACATTGGATGGAGATGAGAACCTGGTTTGGGAACGTTACTCCATACACACACACACACACACACATATATATATATATATATATATATATATTAATTATACTGTAGTGTAATCAATGGGATCCAAAAGAATTGTTCGGCAATAGGACTGTACATGCAACAGCTGTGCATTCATCATCATCCATGTGTCCTGTGGATTTAGGTGGGCTTACCCATAATTATTAATATCATTAATATTGTTATTATTGTGTGATTAATAAGCATGATTTTTACTTGTTTTACACAATAGTAATAACAACTGCAAAATTAAATCCAACCAAACCACATACAATTTCTCTAGAAGTGTGGATGTTAGAAAAGGTTACAGTATCTAAAAAAAAATCAAATCTTTTAATAAAAAGTGTGATTTGTGTACATTCACAATTTCTATTTATACTTTCAACATAATATTTATTGCAAAAAATAGTATAATACAATAACAAAGTCCTGGCCACAATGAGTGTGAAAATCAGAACAGTTACAAGAAGCTTAAATGTTCCATCTAAATGACTAAATAATTTTGTATCATACGATAAATTCCAAGATCAGTTTGTAAACATATAACCTGTTTGAAAGCATTCAATGCAATTTATTATTATTATTATTATTATTATTATCACTATTTTATTATGGAAATCAAATGTGGAAAATTTAGTATTTCTTCTTCCTTTAAAGGAGAACACAAAAATTGAATAAATAAATAAATAAATAAATAAATAAATAAAGATAAAAAATCAAGCTCTGACCACGAAAGAGTGAAATGTTAATTAAAAAAAAGGGTTACAAGTTTCAGTTGGATAAAAAAAATAAAAAATAAAAAAATTGATGCATCCTCCATTGAAAACATAACAAAAAAATTCTTATTTAATATTTTCAATTATTTTGTTTCTCACATTCAAATGCTAAACATAAAAGAAAACCAGAATTTAAAATATGAAAACTTAGCACATTAAATCTACAACTTTCACCACATGGAGCACATCAATCTCAGTATCAAACAGTATTTACATGGGTGTTATCTCAAATTCAACATTTTTTCAACTATTGATTGCACATTGAAGAGTAAAATCCACCTTGGATTGATGTAGTCCTGAGTATTGAAACAGATAATTAATTTCACACACACCATCAAGAATCAAATTGTTGCATCCCCTTCTAACTATTGCCTTTTAAAAAACTACAATAAAAATATGCATACTTGATTGATATGTGCATATGAATATATATATATATATATATAGAGAGAGAAAGACAAATGCCTTCACGAAACTATCCAAGATTTATTTATTTATTTATTTACTTTTGATTTACTGAGTTCTTATTTGAAATGAAGGTTCATAAAAGCATCGTTCAATTGATAACCCACAAACAATCATCCATCGTTGAAGCAAGAGATAGTAACTTTTGAAACGATTAGTGACTTAATACTAGTAGCTTTTAATGTAGCTCCTTTTGTATAGAAATCTATTTCCCCATGATTCCCTTTATACAAAAAAGAATGGTGATATTCCTTAACATGGGCCACAGACGTGCAATCAAGGAATCGCTAAGATTGACATTAAATGAGGTTAATTGCAGTGCCCTAGTTCCCCACTCGATATAAACAGAATATTGTATATTAAAGATTCCTTTCGGAGCTACTATGCTTCAGTCAAATGCTTAGAATTTGGCTAAATGACAAAAACCTAAAAACTCTGACAAATTTTCTGACTATGAAGTTGTTGAAAATCCCCCCAAATTAAAATTTCCCATCTTTGTTGTTATTGTTGTTGGTATCCTTACTAATTAAACCCACATTCGCTAATGAAGGAGCGCCCAATGACTCCCTTGTTTTTGACACATACGAAAAATGACTTGTGAAAATATTTCTAAAAATAAGAAGTATCCAATCAATTTTAACATTCACATGTGAAGTGTCCCCTCGCAAGAAAAGTGAGTCCAAGGAATTAAAAAGCTTCAAATTCAGGAACAGAAATTCAAACAAAGGGTTCACAACTTTGCAAACCTCCGCAGATTTAAACCTAATTCATGTCTTATTCCCTACACAATACACTGATAAAAATAAGAAGATTGTGACGAATCTAAGTCTCCATGAAGATCTACATGTTGATCTAGCATTCGAAACAGTCGCAAAATGTTCTCTATGTGAACATGTACCGACCTCCCGTCTTAAATGTCCCAGAAGCTAAGGAAAGAGAGTCCTTGGAGAGAATGCACGGGGCTAGAAAGAGAATTCGAGTTTCGTTACTTTTACGACGACGACGACGAGAATGACGGAGTCACGAAAAGAAGAAGAGAAGGGAAAAGGGAAAGGACAAGGGGGAAAGGGGGGAAAGAGAGGAAGGGGGAGTTGTGACTGGGAGCTGCGCGGCGTCAAAGGAAGTTAAGAGCCCAAATCGCGGACTCTGCGTCGCGCACCACTGCTGAGACACACACACACACACCGAGGAAGGGAGAAAGCGAGAGAGAGGCGAGGTGTATCAGCTACTTCCCCCCTCCCTCGCCCCCTCGCTACCCTCCCTCCCTCCCGCGCAGGCAGGCAGGCAGGCAGGCAGGCAAGCAGGCAGTCCAGGCACGAAGGCAGGGAGGCTTGTTTTCGTTGTTGGCGAGGGGACAACTTCCTGCTGCAAAAAAATAATCCTTCATGGCAGTCGTTTTGCTGTCCAGCTGCGTTTTCCTGAGCAATTGAATCGTCTCCTCTCCCACTGTCGCTCGGTGCCGTGCGATATTCATCAAATACCTGGAGCTAAGAGGAGGAGGAAGCGGGCAGGAAGGGAAGGGTAAGGTCCATCTAGTTTTGTTAGGAAAACCGTTTGTCAATCCAAGCTTGTAGCAATCCAGAAGCTGACGCACATTTTCGGTTTAGCTAAAGAAGTCGACAGTGGAACTCAAGGATGTTCGCAGATTGAGGGTCGAGTAGACTCGGGGAGAGGTACAGAGCTGGGCCAGGTGTTGAATCGCCGTCACCATTTCCGCCGTCGCGACTCTTCATTTTTGGTTTTTTGGTTTTTGGTTTTTGGTTTTTTTGGCGGCGACGCGATGTTGTTAGGCGACGGGGAAAATCTCGGGCGTCTAGGTTTGCGAGGCTGGCTGATGCGGTCGCCCTCGCCCTTGTCGAATTGCAGCGGGATCAGGCGGTTTGGCCTGTTCGGTGTCTAGGCGAGGTTCTCTGAAACTAGGTCTACAGCAGAGACGGGAGAGATGATTGAGGAGGAGCTTTCTCAATATGCGTGAGGAATCTGCTGGCTGCCTAGCCATTTTCCGAGACTTACCTTCTTCCAGGAGATTGCTTGCTGTGGACGTCTTCCTCATTGTGTTGAATCCAAGCCCATCCCCAGACTGGACGGGTGTTTAGCAGATTTCTTGTTCTACAGCAGCGACGCTGTTCTCGCTCGCGCAATGTTTAGTATCAGGCTCGTCAACTGTGGAGGAGAGCTATTTTAGCTTCATTCCACTCTTTGTCTTGCTCTTCCGTCGGGAATGTCTAAAACCCTGAGCAAGTCGTCCAGCGTTCTCGTGGACTAGGACTTGTGCTCATTGAAGTTCAAACTCATACTATAAACTTCAATTCAGATGTGCTCGAATGACTACTGATCCAGGAGTTTTCAGTGACGCCTGCGACTGTTCAAGTAGGACTACTATGTCGAGCTGGAGACACGATCTTTGTGATCCATATAGAATGCCTCCACAATCGCTTCAACGCATGGCGCATGAGCAGAACAAATAAGTGAAACTACAACATTTATACAGCTGCTGTATTTTTTAGAGGTTTCACTGATGGAGTTGTTGAGGTGTTTTCGAGGACTAGTGTAGGGACGGAGGTTCCAAAGGGACAGTGTCACTGCCTGCTATCCACACTCATTGTTAATCTATTCGTGTTGGTTTTGGTGGTCAGTTTCGGAGACGATGACGACGGAACTTCTGCTGACAGGTATATTCTCAGCATCAACCGAGGCTGTCTATAGAAGCTTGAAATGCAGCCCGCGGGGTTGAAGGAGCCAGCAGTACTGGTCTTTCAAGCAGTCTAGGAAATGCGCATCTGGTAGCGACACTGGGCATAGGAGGGAAGCACACTGTTTCGACATTATTTGAAGTATTAAACAGCTGACGTGAACAAGTAAGTGAATAAGAGCCTAGGAGGGCATGGTGTCCTTAGACTTAAGGGCAAGGCTTGGGGAGAGTGGGCTCTTGCTTAGATCAGAAACTTATGCACAAAGTATCCAACATCTACATTTCAATTTACTTCCATGCAGTACTAAATCGTTCAAATCCTTTGAAAAGAGGGAATTAGTTGAGAGCGTAACTCTCTTAGAGCATGTGATCGCATGGGTGAACCTCATCTGTATTATTCATCACGAGCCGGACTAAGAAGAGTACATTTGCACAAGCGTGTGCTTTCTGACGTTCCCCGCGTCTGTTTTGTCGAAGTTTCACTTTTCCTCGTAGATATTTGCGTTTTGTGCAAGTTTGTCTCAGGAATCTCTCTCTAATGCGTCCGAAGTACGAAAAGGCGCGGTTCGAATTTTGCGCTCTCTACCTCTCTCTCGCGCGCTCTTCCAAGGACTTGAAATACTAGTGACAAGGCATAGCATTTTCCGTGAAAAGCCTTTCCTACGATTCTACTACTCATCAAGAGCTACACGAACCGCCCAATTTCTTCGATTTGATTGGATAGATTAATGTGAACGAGTTGCAAACATGCCGTGTGCACGGAATACAAATGCTTGCGCGTCTTTTCTTCGTAGGAAGCGCGGCGAATCGCAGCAGACATTATTCATTGATTCAGCTTAATGAATTTTTTTTGAATCTTGTTTTTTATGGTAGGAATGCAGGATTCAGCTGAGTTTTTGCAACACACAGGGGGTGGAGGCATGAGCAGGAGCCCCCACGGTGGAGGGATGGCGGGTGTACCCAGTCAAGGGTTGCACACACCAATAGCTATTCGACCTCCACCACCGCCATCACCCGGTATTACCCCATCACAGGGTGGCACTCCAGGCATTAGCAGCGCTGTGCCGAATAGTAGCCCGTCCGGTCCTCTTCCAATCATGGCTGTGGCTCCTCCGTCAAGCGCAGGAATGAGCATGGCTATGGTTGGCCCGATTGCTGGGGATGAAAGCAGGAGTGGTAGTGCGGCTGCGACTGCCACTGGGCCTGAACAGTCTCTCAAGAGGAAGAGAGGGAGGCCTCGTAAATTTTCTACTGGTGAATCTTCACCAATTCCTAGTGGTGCTTATCCCGTGTTTCCAGCGCTAATGCCTGGCTCATCATCGCCGTACACGCCCTCTGAAAAGCGAGGAAGAGGTCGCTCACAGTTTTCTGGGAAGAATCAGCAATTAGCTGCTCTAGGTGGGACATCTCGGTAGGATGATGCGCTAGGTTTTTTGGTTCTTCGAGTTCATGAGTCGAATACTATTTGTTTCTATTTTTCTTTTGTAGGGTTTTGTTTTGTTTCTTCTTCTTTTTCTTTTTCCTCTAGCATGCTGTTATAATCAATGCTAACGACGGTTATTCTCATCTCAGGGGTTGTTCTAGCGGGTACAGGACAAGGTTTTACGCCTCACATTCTGACTGTGAATACGGGAGAGGTAGATGTTCGTTTTTTTGTCATCTTTGTGAATCATCTCTTTTCGATATTTGGGCATATTGGATTTAATTGTAAGTGTTCAGATTACTTGTGGTTAAATCAATCCGTTTGTTACTGAACCTGGGAAAGTTATTCACAATTGTTCTTTTGTGTCTGCTTCAGGATGTCGCCACAAAAATCATGCAATTTGCTCAGCATGGTCCACGCGCAATGTGTGTATTGTCAGCCAACGGTGCTATTTCCAATGTAACCTTACGCCAGCAGTCATCATCAGGAGGCACTGTGACTTATGAGGTACGATTTCAATCTCATGTTCTATAGCTTGAAGTATAAATAACAGAAGGTAATTTGTTTTTGACATACACTGTTGAACAATCCGGCAAGTTATCTAGCTCACCTCATCTTCCAAAATTATCAGACATCTGATTTAAGTCGAGCTGTAGCAATAGAGGTGTGCCTTCAGATTTGCCATGTATTACCGATGTTCTAATCAAACTATGGATTTGCATTTGGGCATCCAGGGGCGCTATGAGATACTTTCTTTGTCAGGTTCGTATCTACCCACGGATCTTGGTGGTGGCGCGCGGCAACGGACAGGGGGCTTGAGTGTCTCTTTGGCAGGTATTGATGGGGGTGTGATTGGTGGCGGTGTTGCTGGAATGCTCACTGCAGCCTCTCCCATACAGGTATCCGACATCTATCTGGTCCCATAAGTTAGGTCGCGATTCATACTGAGCTAGGCAACTTGCTTGTTTGTTTGGCGTCCGCTTCATGTGGTGTGTTTACATTAGCACAGCTTGATGGTTGTATCATTTTCACCTGGTGTGCAATATGCAGGTGGTTGTAGGGAGTTTCCTTTCTGATACTTTTAGAAATAAACCAAGACCCGACTCTCCATTCAGCGCCGCACTTGGAAGGTCACCTGGAGTTGGATCACCTCTTGGATCCTTTTCTGGAACTCCGCGTCCTACACCACCGAGACCTGAACCCAAACCAAGTCCAGGTGCATACTATTGCACCAGGAGTTTGTTCCCTTGTATCTATCTACCTGAAATAGCATGTTTTTCATAATGATGAATTGGATGATTCTTGGTTTCATGCATGAGATCTCGTCAGCAGTTCCTTTTTCCAAAACTAATTTCATTGGTTCTACTATGGGTGCAGCATCTGGTCCTCAGCAAGCATCGCCTGATACTCCAACTGGTCAATCGTCCGTGCAGAGGCCGCAAGCCATGAGTATCTTCCAACCGACAACTTGGCAGTTTCCACTGGTCCCAGGAGATGGTCGGAAGACTGATATCAACATCTCCTTGCCAGATGGATTCAGTTGAGTTGAAAAGGACAGAATGACTAGTTTCTTGCTGTTTCCGACTGGGACCTATACAACATCCACACAACTTTTTGGTCTTCCCTTTCCTAAAAGGAAATGGGTTTGTTGCAGTACCGAGCACTAGTGAACATACATGATCTTCTTGCTGATCTGGTTGACTGTTAGAGATCAGCCAGGCTTTCACAGATCCAACAGTCCCCACCGCTGGCATCATTGCACAGCTGATGGAAAGATGTCTAAAAGCATTGCTTTGGGATAAAAGAGGAAGGGGTAATTTCTAATTTGAAAATTTTCATAACAAGCTCTCTGTGAATACGACGTTTGAGTTAATTGAAGACGAAACAAGTGGGTGGAATCGTAGAGTTGGTCCCTAAGGTGAGCTTTCATGTATTGGTCTAGCTGAGGACACCATTATTAGTTTGAATTCCTATCCACCAGCTGTAGCTTTACATCTGTTTGAACATTCGACCATAGACAGATATTTATTTATGCAACTTTCTTCAATGGGGGTTGTATTTTTGAGGATTATCATGCCATTCAAGGCATATCTAGCAGGACCTAGTCTCGAGATAGTTCGTGTAATGCTGAACTATGCTTGGACCATGTAGAGATTGGCCGGAAAGTCGTATACAGTTGGCTTCAATTTCCTTTTGCAGTTAAAGGATTTTTTTAGTTCCATTATTATCTTATATGAATGGTTCCATTTGTCGCTGAATTTGAGCAAGTCGTTATGTAGACAAAACGGCCATGGCGCGTCTTTCACTACTTCTCCACTGCAATTTGCAACGAGTTGGCATTGTGTGGAATCTGACACCCCGACAAGTTCGTTTCGTAGTGTTCGACCCGCTTCGGTTGACTTGTATATTCCTGAAACGTCATTTTTTCTGGGACGATTCCTGGACAAAAAGATGCGTTTTGTCAGTAGTTCACTGTATTTATGTTCAGTTACATTTGTCAAACATAACACTATCCTGCGTATCATATTATATATTTGATGGAATTCACTTGTTCTGCATGGTTCGTTTCGATAGGTGTTTGAGCCCGGAACTTCCTGGAACGCTATCATTTGACAGGGAAGAACTGCGTTGATGACAATTAGGTGAATGATGGAGGCTGCACATGAGCAATTGAGCGTAAATGCCCAGACACAAGTCTCTGACAAATAAATTGATGCTTATGAGAAGGAATAGCGCAACGCTTCAAAAGACACCAGAGAATCTTTCGAGTCCTGTCAGTGGCTAGTACAGTCGATATTCTCATATCAGGATTACTCGAGTCGCGACCGACATTCACAAGAGTACTGTTTGGTGCTTCATTAACACACAACTGGAGTAACTCCCTCAGTAGCCGTAATGGTAACCTGATGCACATCTCTGTTTACTGTACACCTTGTCAATGATGGGATGGTACTCACATGAGAGAGAGAGAGAGAGAGAAGAGACTTACGGGCCAGAGGAAACCGTTAAGTTGGAAGCACATCGACAAAGTACGTTTCAAAGTTTTAGTGCGCTCCATCAGTGCACTCCATCATTTTCTGCAATTTCTTTTGTTTACCAGGAATGTATTAGTAGTCTTCTCCAGTTGAATCTGAAGCTACCGGAATGGCTTGTCCATTCGATCGTTCACCTAACATGCAAAAACACTTCGACTAGTCCTCGTTTCTATAAACATTTATTCACCGTAATCTCTAGCTTTAGATTAATTCTCCGGCTCTTAACGTGCATGTAATTAGGTCGATAATTGGGGCTAAAGATAATTTAGCAGAGTTTTAATCGAAATTATTAATCTCAAGTCCTTTAGGTCGTCAACGTGCCAGGTGGATTTCGACCATATCAAAAACAAAGGGAAAGCATTCGTCCTCGTTCCTGTTGTCCTTAGTATCTCGGTAGACAACGTAGTTGACAATGTACAATCTCCTCCCGCAGTCGACATTTACTTCAAGTGCTTGCCGGCTGCGTGTCGTTATGTCAATAACTGCGCTGGTCTGGCGGGCGCAGCTCGTGGATGGAGGAAAATTCTCGCACCTGACTTAGATGACTTCAAGCAACTCACGCCGCGTTTTGACTAAGTCCGAACCGCCGCTATTTCTCAATTCGCAAGGGTTAAGAAACGACACGCTCTGCTTCTTTAACTATCTACAGTGAATGCTAGTAGTTTCTCTGCCACTCGAGAGCCACCGAACCCCTCAATCTCGAATCGTGAATCCTAATGTGTTAAGGAAATCCCTGGCAAATCCAAAAGGATTACTAAACCTCGCGGACACGACGCATCCCCAGAGGCACACAAAACACGGCGATGGCGACGATGTCAAATAACCAGAACCACAAAATTCAAGGTCCGCGTGAATGAGAAGACCTTGAGCTTTTAAACTTTTACTTTTTTGGGATCAAAGCGGAAAGTCGATTGCAGGAGTCTCTTTAAAAGGTTAACAGGCGTTGTGGAACAATTTTTTTTTATATTTCTGCAATGATTTAATGTCTCCAACATTTAAAATTTGAAAAACAACAGTTGTCTGCATACAAATAAATAAATAAATATATGTATGTTTGTACAGAAAATCCTGCTCCAAAGATTTTTGTGTACAATATTAATGATTCTTTGTTTAATTATTTAATGATATATTATGTTATGTTTTATTTATTTATTTATTTATTATGTTAATCCTTGATTTTTGAAAATTATCCCTTCCTTCTGCCTAAGTCCTATTATATTTTATCCCCTCATTTATTTTTTAAATGAAAAATGAAAAAATGCATAATATAACATCTAATGCAATTGTTCAATATTTATGTACTAATATTACTTTGATGTTAATTCTTGTATAGAATAATAAAATACAAAGCTTACGTACATTATTGAAGTATAAAATTTCCATCTTATTATTGGTCATATCTTTAAATTCATTCAATAAATTCTTTGAATTTATAACCTATGAATCTTGTTATAACAAATGTTAAAGTTCATAAATCAAAAACCTCTAATACTTAAAATATTTGTTAATAATTTATTAAATAAATCAAATAAAATAACTACAGAATTGTTGTTGTAGATGATGTATGGAATAAAATATTATGTACTAAACATATAATATGACATAATATATTTAAACATAAAATATTATAAGACTAAATATAATAATGATAATAATAATAATAATATTATTTTAAATTCAAAATAATATATTACCTTGAGATAATTAAGTTCTAGCATATATAATATATAATATTAAATAATACTAAAACTTATACTTAATATTAATTCAATCTATGCAATTATCAAATAAATATATATGAATCATATCATGTAAAAACTCCTCTCCAATATAATATTTATTTATAAAAATTCTAAATTATAGAGTATTACGAGTAAAACATATTTTATAATTTTTTCTAAATAAATATACTAAGTATCCATCTATTTATTAATTTTAACTATAAATTAATTATTAATTAATATTAAATATCTATATATAATATGCTTAATTTTAAAATATGAATATTTAAATTAATTATTTCTATCCCTAAATATAAAAAATATATAAAAAATAATTTGATAAATTTACTAGCTAATTATAGAAACCTAACCTTATATTTAATTTAATTGTAATTTTTTTATAGATGATTCTGATTATTAAATAATCATATTTATAACTTGTTTTTCTAATATTTTTTAAAAATTAATATATATCATATTTTTAATTAAAAGAATAAAACTATTCCGTATAAGTGGTAATACGAATTTCTTCAATGATTATTGTTAAAATGTTTTTGGTACTCTATTGAGTTTTTCTTAAAAAAATATTCTATATAGAAAATTTGTTCAAATATAAGTAATCTATTTATAATTTGGTATTATTGATAATTTATTGGAATTTGCAATAAAACATCTTCAAGAAACCAATATATTGAAGATTGCAGGTTCCAATTCAGTAAATATCAAATGAATACACATAGTAAGTTATGATGTCTCATTTTTTTCAATCTAGATTATATATATATATATATATATAGGTATAGGATTTATGCTTGGTATAATTAATTACTCGATATATACATAAAATTTGGTGAAGATTTTATATATTTTTCAATGTAAATCTATAAAAATTTGATTGATACGTCTGATTTGAATAAATCAAATATTTGTATACCAAAAGATTTTAATAAAAAGTGAATTTTCAGTGTTAATTTAATTTTTAATTTATTACAATCAATACTTAAAATGATTGGATAAGTTTTTGTAATGTTGTTGAATGTGTGGAAATTATCTATTTCCAGATGATTTTCCTTCCAGTTTCATAACAATCCTTATAGTTGTTGTTGTTTATTTTATTTTATTTCCTTTTTATTCCACAATAAGGAAGGAAATGTTTGACTGTAGGCTAATAAAGTAGATTTCATATGAAAACTTAACTAATTATTTTAAATTATTAATTAAAATATAAACATATATATATATATATATATATATAATTATGGATGTCTAAACATATATATTTTAAAAATCAGATTAGGACTCAATACAAATAATATTTTGATTTTTGTGCTTTAAGTTATGAGAATGATAATGAACAAAAACTATTTTTTTGTAATTAAGAAAAATTACTTTTATAAGTAAACATGATGTTTTTTAAGTCTTCATATATATATATATATATATATATATATGTTTTCACCATTTATTTCTTTTACTGATGTTAAACTATATAAATAATTTTATATAAAAATTCACATGTAATTTTTTGTCATTTTAATAGTTTTTTATATTGTTTTTTTAAACTGATTTTTTTATAATTGTAGAAGGGATAGAAATTTGTTTTTGTAAGATATTGATAAAATAGATTAGTCATTCTTAAGATAATCAATTTAATAAGAGGGGTGATTGAATTAATTGTAATGAATGATTAAATAAGGAATGACGGTTACAATCTGGAATTTCAAAAGTAAAGCATAAGTAAGTTGAAGAAGATATTGTAAGGGCCAGACTATGATAGTCATGAGCCGGGGTATGCTTGGTGCTACCTCTTTGTTTCTTTGTTGTTGAAGAGTAATGGATAGTTTCTGAATACTGAGAAGTGAATCTGTGGAATAAATCAAAGATTGATTTATGAGTTATTGATTATGTAATTGGAATACTATGTGATTAAATTATATGAGAAGTTATTGGAAGTTTGATTATGGATGGAAGATTATGATTATTATATATTGAGAGTTGTAAGTATTTCAACAGAAGAAGTTTGTCATTACAAAAATTGTGTGAATCCAGATTGGTTGGAGTGAAGTCTATTATTTTTGATGTTGAATGGAATTGATGTGTTTTGAGCGATCTTTTGAGAGTGTAAGGTTGCACATTGTTGTTATCAGTAGATGAAGGAATATTGTTATGGAAAAAAAGTATTGTAGTATTTCTTGGTATTTTAATACTTCAAATTATGGTTAATTGTGTGACCCTAATGTATAAGCTCATGCAATAGTCTTTCCATGTATTCAAACCCCCCTCTACAGGTTTATTCTGAAAGAAATTTGTAGATTAAGTAAAATAATAACTATATTTTGGCATCCCTGACGGAGAACAACAATAGTATTGAGAATTAGGAATCAATGGCTGAACGAGTAGTTTTGGATGTTGCGCAAAGAGGTATAAAATTGAAATTGGTTCGAAAGTGAAGAAAATTGTGTAGTTTGATAGAAAACAGGATGAAAATTCAGCAGTATATAATGAAAGATTACGATTATTAAGAATGAGAATGTTGCAGTTAAAAAAATATGCTAGTCGAAAGAAAGAGAAGAGAAAGCGCTATCGTCTTGTAATACGACTATATGGTGAAAATATAAATGAAAAAGATATTATTAATATTTAGTCATCTTCGATGTTAGAAACAGTGGCCAATTCCAGTGCCAATTCTTAGGGTAAGTTAATGTCACTCTACCGGCGTCATCAAATCAAGTACCCTCTTTACCAATGGGACAACCAAGATCATTTTCCAACCCTACATGGAACAAGCCTTGTAGGTATATGTTGGTGGAGACACTCAATATGCATGATGGGGGTATAGGAAGATCACTTCGTCATTTCTATTGCAGACAAGTTGGTCATTATGCTAGTGAATGTTCTAATCTTGAAGCCAATAATGATTACGCGCCAGTGTATAGGAATTGTAAGAAGTCAAGGCATACTTATCAGCAATATAATGCTCTATCTAATTTCAATAAACGGGATCAGCAGATCTAAAGCTAAGAAAAAATTGAGGAGATAAATCAAGGTTGTTAAGATTCTTCAATAAATCGGATGGAATGAGTCCAAGCCATTCTTACCAGGAGTTGACAAAAAGAGAAAGGATCAATTCAATATTCGGATGAGTTTGATGTGAAGGGCCAATTTGACCTAATTACGGGGACATCTAATCTATGTCCTGGTATGGGTCTCTTATTCAGTATGAGACTTGAATTGGTTGGGCAACCCAATGAGGTCCCGAATACGGAGGCTTTGGTTCCATTTCAAGCTGTTCCATTCTCTATGTCGTTTTAGGAGAAACGTCTTTTCTATGGAAAGATCCTCTTAAAGATAGGAATTTTGGGGAAGCACTGTTGGCTGTTCCAATTCGGAGTCTAGGGCGGAAAAAAATGGGACTACACGGAATTAAAAGGAAAGAGAGGATAAGGAAAGGGGGCATTTAGAGAATCAAGATTTTGGGGTCGGAGAGCTAGCTTCAAGCTCCTTCGAAAGGTATAGAATTCGGTTTCATAGGATTTGGAAGGACTTTGGCAATCGTTGCTGAAAGTCAGTGTTTGTATTGGTGATTTGGATATTTTTGCAATAAATTTAAGGCTGGTACTCTTGACTGTTTTGTAAAATTAGAGAAACTTCTATGGTTGAAATTTAGAAGTATCTAGAGGGTTGAGTATGTCGAGTGCATGCAAAAGTTTATGTTAATCTGACAGAACAGATAGAGGATATTTGACCATTAGTGTAAAGAAGTATCGGAAGTTAGTAGATTGGGGTTGTTTAGGGTTCTTATAATATCTGGAGATCTACCTGCTAGAATAAGGTGACTTTTGGCGTGGTAAGTTGAGGACTTGTAGGCGGCAGTTAAGATACATCAGTGTGGATTTACGGTATTTTTTTGCAACCTGTAAGTTAGATTGGATTGAAACTTCTTGAGCATTTAGAAGGCTTGCAAAGACACTAGTGGTAGAAGTTTACAACAATCGGATGGTCAGATTGAGAATTTCAGCTTATCGAGGCTTGCTATCTAGGATTAGGGTTAAAAATAAAATAAAATAATATAAAAAAAATAACAAAAGATTTTATACT